AACGACAACAAAAAAAAAGAAAGCAAAAACAAAGTGAACTGTTAATGCTAAATCAAAATTGTATGTTTCAAAATCACATCTGTAGATGATACTTTATTTTCAAAATATTCATCTGTGTATTATTTTGTTTTAAAAAAAACAGATAACAACAGCAATTGCAAAAGAAAAACAAAAAAAAAAAAAAAGGGAAGAAACAGAAATTATTTGCAATCAACGTATTCTCATTTTGCTAACTGTTCTGATTTGAATATATGGCAAAAGATGCTTAAAAAACTTAAAATCTTCTAAAGTAGTAATTTGCAGAAAAAAAGGAAATGAATAAAATCTTGGATTTGTGTATGTATGTGTAAACTATAGTAAACTTTTTCACTGCTATACTTTTTTGTTCAACTAAGATCAGTCATTTTTTATGACTTTTCCAATAACATTTTTGCAAACTGTTTTTATGCGCTTTAAAAAAGCTTGAATTTTTTTTTTTATCGTTTATTTTTTTCCTTTTTTTTTTTTTTTTATAGAATTACAAAGAAAGGAAAGAAAAAGAAATCAGGACAAAAAAACATTAAATCTAAACAATTCCTACGTCCATCATCATCATCATCATCTTCACCATCACAGTCATAGCAAATATGATCGTCATGACCAAATCAACTGAACAAAATTGCAATTTGGAAAATACTGTACAGCGTAATGACGTCACTGCAGAAAGGACTTGTGAAAAAAAAAATAGGAGTTTTAAATATCCGTATTCAGAAAAAAAAAAAAAAAAAGGAAGAAAAAACTTTTGTGTATATATGTATTTTATTTTTGATTTTTCTTTTTCATCTCTTCCAATGGCAATTTTTAATACTATTTGATACCATACAGATGGTACCAAAATGATAAATATGACTGTTGTTTATGGTGACATTAGAGGCGATTATATTGTCCAGTGGAAGAAAAAAAAAGTTTGTTTCAATTTTCAAAATTATTCAGATGGTTCGTTTTTTTTTTTTGTCAATCTCCCCAATCGTCAAAAATGAGTAAGCAGAGGTTGAAGAAGCATTTTAAAGGTGTGAACGGAAGTTCTGCTTACAATGCAAACAACAACTCGTCTAAGTCATCAACGGAAGTTGGCTTTAGCAGCGATACTAAATGTCACAAAGCCCTGAACGTGTTTAACGAACAGTGATATAGAAATAAATGCATTTAGAAGCGAAAAAAATGAGGATGAATTATTTTTTTTAAGTTTTGATTATATAAAAAATTCCTCTGCTTGATATATGCCAATATACTGACTGTTAACTTTGCTAAATCAAAAATTGCTGCTATTGTATATCCATTCCGAAGGCTAACCGTACATCTGATCTGTTGAAATATAATATCCGCCCGTTCGTCCGTCAGGCAGCAATACATTACTGAAGCGGTTAACTGCTTTCAAGGTTGCTTGTCATTCATCCATTTATTTTGTTGTTTTTTTTTTGCTTCTGAATTACCGAAAGCTAACTGTACATTGTCTCATCAAACAGTTTGGTTTCAGAGAGCCTTTGATAAATGACAACATTTAGTAAAAAGCCGCATTATTTCGGTACCTCAAAAGGTTATAAGCGCATCCAATCACCCATATTTACATTTGTATACTTTCCAAGTATAAATATATACATGTTTACGGTTCAATAGATTAATGTTGTTTCCTCTTTTATTTTATTTTATTTATTTATTTATCTTTTTTTTTTTTTTGCTTTACTTCACTCCCTTTTAACATTTCAATTTCATCTATAAAAGACCATGAATTTTGATGGTCAAAAGTTATGACTGCTTTCTTGAACCGCTGTATATTTCAAATTAAACTGTCAACTGTTCAGTAAGAAAGTTCAGTATGATCGATAGCAAAATTAAACACAAAAGAGAATGGAAGAACTTCTAAACATTTTAAAAGCTAAAAAACTTCAATTTCTCAATCTGACTGGTCATCCGTTTGTTTAATTTCTTTTTTCTTTTTTTTTTTTGCAATTTACCAGTCTTAGCAAAAGAAGCTCTCTTCTCCTTTTTTTTTTTTTCATTCTTTAAATTGATTCAACTGCTAATTGGTGCAATTTAAATGAAGTGGTCCAAATAAAAATGCACCGGTGTAAGCAATTGCCGTGAAAGAAAATTTAAGGTAAAAAAAAACAGGTAAAAAGAAAGAAAGAACATAATAGTTTTTTTTGCTGCTTTTGCTAGTTTAAAATCGGCTACAGCAATCGTCATCTTCATCAACATCAAAAAAAGACGTCACCATCAGCGTTGTCTCAACCACCATCATCAATCCCGTTATTGGTTAACGCTTTTTTCTTCCTCAGCCGACAAATCATCTTATTCTATTGCCTGATATGAATACCAGCCACAAACTGGACGAAATACATCAAAGCAAATAAAGACTTAGTTTTTTGACCACTTTTTGAATATTCACTGTACGATACTGTCATGCAGCAATTTCATTTCTGTAAATCATAACGGTCTTCACCACAATCTTTCGTAGAAAAAATTTTTCAAACATTCTAGTTTCAAAAAATGTCGAGTTTTTTTCCCCCCTTGCAACAAACCACTCAACCACAACAAAATAACGAAACCTTGTCCTCAAAGTGATTCACCTTAAAACATTATATCAAACCATTACGACTGCTGCATTTAACAGTAATTAATTACATCATAAACGTTACAAAAATAAAAAAAAACCATTTTTCAGACCAAATCCAAAAGAAAAACGCCAAAAAAAAAAAAAA